TAGTTAGATGGATCATGATCGTTTAATATTAAATACTTTTCAGTGGTAAAATATCTAATTTATCCAATCATAAAATATAGTTTAGATCAGGTTCCACCCATCCGGGTTTTACAGAGTTTTTTAGAATTATCTTTCTGCCATTCAAAGGATGGATGATGAACGTTGGTATTTGGCGAACATCATATTCTTGTCCGGTTCCTCTTGTTAGAGAAGTTCCAGGACGCTGGAGTTAGGGACATCAATCGTTGTGTCGTCTTGTGACAACGACTGTGTTTCCCAATGAAATCAATCTGATTTAAAAATGGTTTGCTATGACGGGTTTTTCTGTATTATGTAGAGAACTTGTTTTGTGTTCAACCTCGTCTGGGAATGACGTGGAGATTGTGTGTGGAAGGGATGCCTTGTAACTCGGATCTGTACGTATACTTGAACATCGAGGTGGTCATTGGTCTAGTTCAATGAAGTCCTTTTCTGCGAAGTCAAGTCGTACTCTAAATCCTTTGAGTTGTGATTGTGGACGGCATATCGGTTGTGGTTAGCCATTCTTGTTCAAGTGTAATGGGATCATTTTGTCTTTGGATGTTCGTCTTTGTTGTTGTGTGTTGATCTATATACTGCAAGGTATGATTTACATTTTATAAAATTTTTATTAGTTCGGTTTTTTAATCATGAATTTAGTTAGTTGTTTTCACAAAAGCATTTTGTTTTAGTTCGGTTATTTTGATGAGTTACTCACCCTTGAGTACCTCTTATTAAAAATAGAAGTGTGGTCACAAAGCGTGGATGTAGCGCGGTGGGTTAGGCCGGCTATAGAGCATGCTCAGGACGTCCTCTCTGGTGGGTTAGGCCAGGAGTGGGAGTATGATTTCGTGCGGTTTCTTTGAGAGGTCCTGTTATGTGATAACGTTTTATGTTGGGTTTATGTTGGTCTTTCTTATGTTTCTTTGGTTGTGTCGTTTTTTCAAAAATCAAATTGTTTTTGTTATGGGTTTGTCTTTCGATTTTTTTGTGTTTTATTATTTCTTTCTTAGACTTTATAATAGTCTTCGAAAGAATAAATTATCCAGTTTTAAACTGGGTTAATCCGGTTTGGGTACCGTTGGTTTTCTTTTCTTAGTCATGCTGTTATTTTATGATTTGTGGTGTTTAGTAAGCTGCGTTGGTTAGTTTGGTTTAGTATATAATTCCTTTCCAACCGGGTTAAAGGAAAGTTTGAAACTTGTTATCATGTGTTAGAGTTGTTGAGTGTGAAAACTTGAAACTTAAAATCATTATTTAAATAATTATTCGTGGGCGAGCTGTGCGAGTTTGAATAGAATTCCTGTGCTAGTGAATGAAAATATCAAAAGGTTAGTACTGCATTTTCATTTATCATATTATTACATAGAATTTCAATTTTACTGCTAGTTTCGGGGGAAATTTAAAGTTATAAATTTTCATCAAAATTAAATTTACTGCTTTATGGGGAAATAATTTATAAATTAATTTACTACATTTGGTATGAATTTTATCAGATTATCTTGTGTAAAATATTAATGAACTTTAGAAGAATTTTAACAAGTTTATTTTTTTATTTTCTTTTCTGTTTTTTGCAGATGATCGTGGTATGAAGACCAAAAATGTAAAAGAAACATGAGTAAAGAATGGTTAGTACTAATTTAAATTTATTAGTTAAGAATATTTTCAAATTATACCTACCTGTAAATTGTCTGGGAAAAAGCCGTGGGGAAAGATGTCGTGTATTATGTCCGAATTTGTTAGTAATTTAACTAGTATGCGAATGATGCTTTTAGTTTGGAGCAGTGGCCAAAGCAATTGAAGTGCTTTAATGGTCTTTAGTTCTTCGGTGCCTACTGCAAACTCATAAGGTGTGTTTTGAATGAGGTTATATATTTTGTGATTATATTTAGTATTGTGAGTAAATTCTAATTTTGGGATTTCTATAAGTTGAATAAATTCAAGTGGGATAAGGAAGGGTCTGGATTCTTCGGCATTAAAGGTTTTCGTGATGGGACAAAATATATACATTTGTTTTACCGGGTCATAATTGCGGAGGATGCCGTGGAGGTTAGTATCCTTGATGCAATAGGTGAAATTAAGAAAAAATGGTGAAGTGTACTTCGAGTTAAGAAACTGAAAACGATGGTGTGGTTGTCTTGATGGAGTATGTAAATCAAAATGATTTTGTATGAAGCGATAGTATGTATATGTATGAGTCTGTTTAGTGCATAACATAATGATGTGTGAACAGTGCAAATCGCGTTCATGTGGTGCAAGGAAGTGAAAGGTTAGTGAAAATAACTGAAATTTTGCTTTAAAACTTTCGTAAGCTTGAATATCAGTTAGTGCTTCAGAAATGATGTGATCATATTTTCTATCAAAAATATTAAGTGTGAAAACATATGACGTTTTGATGAAGAATTTTGCTGTTAGTTGTGGGTTAGCAAAGCGGTCGTCATCTAGAAATTGGTCTTGATTAGTTCGGATGATATTATGGTCGTAATATTCTATTGTAAAGTCGTTAGCTCGGGGTGCAGTGAATGTTTTTAGTGATTTTTTATATCCTATATAAGCAAATTGTCTAGGTGTTAGTGTTGCGGTGAGTCTATATAGCATATCTTTATTCTTTTCTATATTGTTATGAGTACTAGAGAGTGGCAGGCAAAGGGGATTAGTAAAATGGTAATACGCTGTCCAGTGAAGTGTCGGCATTAAAACATGTTCATCTACAAAACTACGTGTGTCGTTAGTGTCGTTAGGTGTGTTTAAAGTATATTGTGGGAATGAGGGTAAGGTGATTGCTAGAAAATCTTTCGTGTTGGTGTGGTGTGGATGATTAATATATTCGCAGGCTGTTCCTGGTTTGGTCGGGAATGGATGGTTCGGGAATTTTCTTTTAAAAGTGCGATAAGCTCGGTGAGTGCTATTTGATGATTCGGTGGATGTGGATGATTGTGCTAATGATGCAGTGTAAGCTGAGGAGGGTGTAGGAGTAGGTGGGTTTGAGGATTCTATTGTGGATAAAATTTGATTTATAGTGAGGGTGTTAGGGTGTATTAGCTGTTGTTGTAGGGTGATAAAATTATCGAGTTCCTGGGAGATTTGGGGGGTATCTGGAGAATTATTAGATGATCGGTCGGAATGAAATGGAGAATAGGTTGGGGTTACTTGCGAATCATAAGAAGGAGTGGAAACGGATGGGAGTGGATTTTTTGGTGGGATCGGTTGAAAAGGGGGTTTTGAAAAAACTGAGGAGTTGGTTTGAAAAATATTGGATGGAGATGGTTCGGAGTCTGCAAATTCATCAGGGGTTTCTATATTAGGGTTATTAAGTTGTGAAATGGAGTATAAAACTGAAATATCTGACTTAGTATCCGAATTCATGCTTGATGATATATTAATAGTTGGAAAATCGGGTGGTGGGAAAGCAAAAAGTGGGATTATTGGGATTGGAGTGTTGAGGTTGGTTGGATGGGAATTTGAGCGGTGTAGGGATCCAAGTTGTCGGCTCATCGTGGTCTAAAAAAATGATAATTTTGAGACTGAAAAGCGGTGGTATGGGGTTGTTCTATAATTTGTTCATATGTATTATCATCTTGTGAATGATGTGTCATTATATGTTGTATGGGACTTTGCGATATGTTTGGTCTAAAATTTGGTTTATGTGTTATTGCTAGGTTTCGGAAATTACGTGGGGCTAAGGATAATGGATGGTTATGTGGTAGGGGTGGCAACTGTGGTGCGGTAGGTGTTACTTCTATGTTATTATGTTCTTCGTCGTATGTGTTCTGTCTTGTCGCTATTTTTGTATTCTATTCTTTTATTTGTGCGTCTAGAAGAATTTTGTTTATTGATGATGAAAAAATTCCAAAAAATCCTGCAAATAGTATGCGTGCTACACTTGCTTGTCTATTTACTTGTGTGTGTATAGCGCATGTGTTATAGATTCCTTTTAAAAGTGAAAAAAGAAATCGTATAAAGTTAAACATTGCGTATAGGATAGTTAATTTTTCTAAGATGTAATAGGGCCAACCTAGAAAATCGAGAATTTCATTTTTTAGGGTAACAAAGCTGAAAATATTTATAGGTGAAATATCTTGTGGTCTGTATTTCTCACCGTTTAGATATATATAGTCTTTAATGTCTTTAAAATATCCGCTATAATCTTGTGTATAAATATCTGCAAATCCTTTTGTCGGGAATAACTCTTTCGTTTTAAATCAGTTTAACAATAGAGCTGGTCCATATTCATACCTTTCTCAATCTTACTTTCAACACATTGAGTATCTAAAGATACAACAATAGCTAAGCACGGTTCTTTTTTTGGATACTTAAGCGAGGCTTGCTTCAGTTATTTAAAGCAATGTGTCAATGATTTCAAGCAACTAAAGTGGCAAATAATTGTTTTATTACTTAAACTAACCTGCGATGAGCTCATGAGGCCTAGTTTTAAACCCAATTCGCCTCCCCAACCCTTCACAAAAAGAACCTGATTTCGGAACATTCTGTGATAATTGCACAGCAGCCAGCTCTGTTCCCAGCTGTCCATTTTAGCCAATTGTTCATTGTTGCCGTGGCTCGAGTTTTTCCTTATCGGCATGGAAGCATTGAAGCTACACAATGTCATGTTCTTTTGTTTGTAACCGACAATATTCTCAACACCCGCATCGTCCAAAAAATTCAACTTGAAATCACAAGAATACAATGATGTACTGTTTCCACTTCCATTGTGATCAAAATAGAACTCTCGATTCTCATTCATGGTAAATATGATCTCTCAATTGACCACTGATTTCCATATTTCATATCACTTTCCTCTTTACTTGTTATCGATTCAACAGTCCTCCTGTTTTCGAGAAATTGAAGATAAAAGCTGACAAAAAACTTTTAAAGTTAAGTAAGTTTTTTTAAAAATTTTAGCAATTAATAAATGCGGCTTGAAATCATAGAAGTGATCATACATTAGATAGTTTACCCAGTCTGATAAGTGACATTCAGCAATGGACCAGAGCAAAATCCTGCTGTTCGTGGCGTGTACGCTGGTGTCTCTCAGTCTGATGTGTTCTGTGTTTGCCCACACCAACTGGGGGGTTATTTGGGAGGACGAGAGTGGGAGTAGGCATTGGAGGGGGCTGTGGGTGAAATGTGCCCTGTACCCTGAAGGCGACGACAAACCATGTCAGGCATATTGTGAGTACTCGTAATATCACTGAAAAGGTTTTTCACTCTGAGATATTGAGTCATTTCATCACGAACCCGTCGAAGTTTCTAATATATATTTTTTTCAGAATTAACAGCCTAAATTGTACCTGGGGCTATGATATTTAAAAATTTCATATCCTGACTTATCAACATTTTTTACAAAAAATACAAAAAAGCTTGTCAAAGAAGTTTTATAGTCCATAGTATTGACACGGGCTGGCGTCAAAAAAGAAAAATGCTTATCATACAATTTCGTATATGGAGCCGGGAAAAAATGCTTATCATACAACTTTCATGGTACAAAATGTACGACAAGCTTCTTTTCAATCGGAACTTTTTTTTCAAAAGTTATCTTAAATTGGTTAAAAACTCCAGAAAAAAATGGCAGCCGTTTTGGATACAGCAAATTTGGCAACAAAAAAAATTTTGAACAAAAAAAGAGGCAAGCATTTTTCCCCTTTTGATTGCCAACTTGCTTCTGTGCTGAAATATACAGTTTACGGAAAAAAATGTGCTAACAAAATTTAACATTCTGTGTTTATAACCGTAGTGCACGTTGAGTTTTTTCCCCAAAAAAAAAACCAAAAAAGTTTTTTAAAAACAACTCTTTTTTATTGTTTTCTTATGCTAAGATAAACATAAATATATGAAAAAAACAGCATCGATCTGTTTTCAACCACCGAAATTTTCGGAGTAACCGTTTACAAAAAGTCACGTTTTTGATATAAAATTCGGTGTGAATGGGTTGTCTAAGACTTACATGGCTTATATCACCACATGTAGTTTATCTGTGTGGCAACTGCCGGTTACTCTTAGATTTTTCTTTTGACAGAAAACCCTTGTTTAGTGAGTTTCGGATGAAACACAAGATTTCGAAACACAATTTTATTTTCTTTAATGTTGAAAGTTGAGAATTTTCAAATGAATAATGTTTTTGAATAAAATTTTTGTTGAGTTAAATAAAGCTATGAAAAAATTTAACAGGCCCAATTTTTCATAGAAAAACATGAAAATATAAGTAGTGTTCATTACTTGGCATTGGTTGCAGACATTTCCCGTGTTTCGGAAAGTTTGCACTGTGTTATTTATTTAACAAAATTATTTGAAAGCAAAGTTTTTTCAAGTCCAATACCATTTCAAGCACGTCTCCAAAACTCCCACAAAATATATGAAAAACCGCAAATATTTTATGAGTTCTAAAATGATCTGTTTGTTTTTCCGTTTGGACAGACACAGCCTTCATAGAAGTAGCACGTGTGTTCCTTCTGGTGGACCACACTGTGTGTCTGTTGTTGATCCCCGCCCTCCTAGCCACCATCTTCGCCAAACCAGGACACTGTCTGACTGTATTCTCAGCCGCCACCTCCTTCATACACTGTGAGTACATTATTAGTCATACTAGAATTAGTTTTTATTAAACATTGTTTTTTCTATTAGCATACAATATTTGTAATGAAAAATATAGCAAATAGCTTGTTGTTTAATTCCAGAGTGTGGCAAAAAAATGCTTAGTATAAAATTTCATAGAATGGAAAAAATGTTTAATTTGCTCTTTTCATACAATTTTTTTAGTAAAAAAAAAATCAGTCCATAAAATTGCATGAAACTATTGCAAGCATTTTTTTTTTTCATTGTACGAAATTGCATGATCAGCATTTTTGTCACCCCGGGTAGAATTGGTTGCATGCGAGCAGTCCTTACTAAGCAAGTAAGTTTTATAAGAAGATATGATCATTAATTACAAAGGAATTAGCACTAGGTGGTGAACTGACTAGTAACACGGTAGCTTTACCATATTCTTACGCTTATATTTTCTGATTAATTGTGAGATATTTTGTCCCTTCGTTCAGATTCGTTGTCTCAAACGGATAATATCGAAAAGTTGGATTCAACTGTATTACATGAATACTGTTCATTCATTCAAATATCATATTACTAATTGCAGGCGTTGTCCTTCTCATGAGCTGTGCCTTCATGACAGCAGACTACAAATCGGAACCCGGTCGTCGGATTCTCATCGGATGTCTCCTTGCATGGCTCGGCTTTGTCCTCTCTTTCATCAGCATCTTCGTAACCACAGCATACGCTCTAACAGCTGCTATGAAGAAGGGGCCTAAAAAGGAGAAATGTCCTCCACCCCCACCTCATCACAGACCACCGAAAGTGACTCATCCTCATGCAGATATCCCTGATGACAATGATAACTGCAATTCCCAGTTTCAGAAGACACGGACACTTATGACTGCTTACAATTATGAATGCGAGTTTTGATTTCCAATCAACAAAATCTTCGTTAGATATTATCAATGCTTATTGCAAATTTTCATAGTACTTGCTTTTTGTTGTCTAATTGAAAACTTTTAAAATCAATGATTGTTTTTTATGAGTGTAACAACGTCTAATATTTCGTCGATCCCTATTTACCTCTCGAATAAGTTCCTCCCCCTTTGATACTAAATTTTGACTTACCGTGACCTACCCTAAAGCAATATACAGTAGGTTTGAGGGAACATGCAGGCCAAAAACGGGGAGGAGGGCTGAGGGTTCACAAGCCAAAAAGTGCCCCAAAACATCATTTTTGGCCAAATTTTTTTTTCAATTGCGCAAAACGGGGGTCTCTATATTTGTTTTATGAGAGCTCGGTCAGCCTAAAAGAAATTGACAAAATTTGACCATCTGGTAAGATGAAAGGTTGAAATGGCGCTCAGGTTGAAATTCTGACCACATCCGCGATAATTCATTCAAATATTTTAAATGTTTTTATACCACAGTTGCTGTAAAGTCAAAAAACTTATTGCTTCAATTATTTTCTCGACCATATGCGCAAAAAACTTCATACTTTTTTTGAAAATTGGAGGAAGAATAATTGCGTTGAAATCATTGCATTTTGTGTGAACAACTTAATGATCTTATCTAATAAATATTTATAAGGATGTAATATGCTTTTAATCGGTCTAAACTTGAGGTCGATGACTTGTGGTGCTCAAACGAGGCACGCACCTGGTTAAATAGATTCAAATAGACTTCAAATTTAGAGCTGGTAGGTTCTTTCTCTCTTAACTTGAATAGCTTCTAAAAGTGGATTTGAACAAAACTTTGATTTCCAAAAATTTATCAAATTTTTATTTTTTCTTAAGACAAAAAGTTAACTTCGCTGCTTCTGTGTACAAATCTGAGAGATACGAATTGTTTGTTTAGCTAAGTACTAAACATCCAACTGCGAGCAGGTTTTTGCAGCTCTGCTTAACGCGAATTAGAAGTCGAAAAATATGAACTCGCTGCAGATTATCGTTTCACTTTTTGTTGCAATTCTGCTGGTTGACTATCTTGATTGCGCGAGAATATCGAAGCGTAAATGCGGAGGAGATAACATGCTTTGGAGGGAGGACAAACTGAGATCATGTGAAGTGACCACTGGGATGGATTTCAAAGGGATCTGCGGGGAGGGATCGGCACACTTTGAGCAGGTAAGTAAAACTATGGATTGACCAGCAGAGTTCAGGCAGTAACGAAATTAGGCGGGAGTCCAGATGCAGTTTCTTGTCAAAACAAACCAAAAAATACCATAAAACGTCCTTTTGTAAAATTTGACAAAAAATGTGTTATTGAATTTTTTTAGAAGAGCTCTCCTCTAATCTTTTTGACCATAAATATCCGCCCACCTCCTTTGAGAAAACCTTAAATCAGTACAGCGCCAGAAGCTCTCTAGCCCCGTGAATGATATATTTGCAGCTCAAATTTTAAAAAAGTGAAATATGTAGATACTCAATGGGCGATGTATCGACTAGCATGAAGCTAGACTAGCATAAAACTTTTAATATTGAAAATCGTATCGACTCCCGCAACGAGAGCCAATGAAATTTTATTGATAATAATGGATTTGAGAGACAAAAATAATCCAATATATTCTTTTACAGATGTAAAACTTAGACTACATAATCGATTATATGCCATTACTATCGATTATTATTGAAAAAAAAGTCCCTTATAATCCATTATAGATGATTATAGTTCTTCATTTTTTGGCACTAGAATAGATTGTTTTGTCAAAATAGTCCATTATAATCTATTATTTTTGAAATAAATATCCACGATGATCGATTATGATACATAAAAGCTCGGTGCGGGCTAGCATAAAAAGTGGGTTTTTTATATTCCGCCCAAAATTGTAATTCTCAAAAAAACATGAAAACAGAAAAACGAATGCTCAAATCTTATTGGTTGAAAACAACTACCACCATAGCGCGTAATTAGAGCAGCTCAACCTGTTAAACAATGATGCATTGTTTTTTGGACGGAATAAATAAAAATAACTAAAAATTTAAAGGTGAAAGACAAATATCGTTAAATATTTAATCACAATACACACACAAAAAAAAACATAAATCCCAGTTGTTCAAACTTCTTGCGGCAAAATTTTTTGTATTCGGTCAAGCCACTAGCAGGTCTGGGTGTGACTGACCACAATTTTTTCGTTAATAAATTTCATTTGCTTGTTGGTTGCTAAATTTATCGGTTTTTCTAAGTCTCAGAAATGAAAAGTTCAGTTTGAACGACTTATTATTGGTGCTTGTATTTCTGAGAGATAAAACTATCAAAAGTATGCTAGTCGATAGATTGTTGTCTTTTCAAACATTTATGCTAGTCGAGCTTTATGTTAGTCGAGTGTTCACCCTTCTATGATCCAAGAACCGTTTTTGGGGGATTATTTTAAACTAATTAATCATATCGACGTTCTAAGGCCGATTTTGAAAATTCCATGGTCAAAACTTTTCAAAACGCGCCTGAAAACGCAGTTTTCTTTCATAAAAATTTGTCTGCGTCGCTTAAAACTTGCGCTTCTTAGAGTTTTGGAAGAACTTGGAAAATCAATTTGGTCGGCCATATCGACAGAAGTTTTTATTTAAGATTTTTATATATCGATATTTTTTTATATCAACATGGGCGGTATCAACCTGTAATTCACGACATAAGGCGTGAAATTTTGTATCAGTACGTTCCTGGATTCTAGAGACAAGTCTTCGTACATGCTAATGTTTTGTCTGAACAATCAAAGTAAACGAAAGAACAAAGGAAGGTCAAAAAGAGCGTCCTTGTTGCGAATTCCGCTTAAAATTAACAAAATGCACGGTTTGGCCTCGTAATGGGTTAAGACTTGACTTAAAAAATTTTATTCATTAAATTTAGTCTTATGATGATCAAAAGTCACTATTAACATTAAAATTAATAGTTCATGTATAAAACAAAAGGAAGCTTCCTTTATCTATTTTTGATCATTTAAAGAAATTTCACCTTACTTTAGACAAGAGACATTGCCTGGTGGATTTATTCTGATGATGATGGAAGTGAAGCCAAGTGTTCAATGGGCATAACCCACTTGTACGATCCAGATGGCCGACTGCTCTTTTACTGCCTCATAAACTGTCCTAAGGGGGTTCAAAACATTTATCCCAGTGAAGACGCGTGTCTGAAAGCCTGTGGAAAGTGAGCTGAAATTTAAAGAAACGAAACTATGTCGAGAAAACAAAAATGTCCGTCCCTACAATTATTTGTACAACTGTCTTGTCTATGACTAAAAGCTTGTTGGGTCAAAAGTATTATACTTCACAATATTTTTTCGAGCATAAATTGGGGACCGGCATATTTGCATGCCTACAGCTTAGCATGTGGCTATTAACGCAAATGAAATTGCGACTTAATTATTTGTTATTTCCAAACTAAAATTTTTGCAACTAAAATTTTTGCAAATAATTTCCAAATTATTTTTTTGCAACTAAAATTCAAAATGAAGAAAAACTATTTTGATTGCGTATGCTAGGCGACTCGCAAGTATTTGATAGACACCCCTCCTAAATTTAACGCTTGAATTGAAAAAGAGCTGATAGGAAGAGATAAGTCAATTTAATAGCGCCGTTCCGCGTAAATACTGTCCATGCATAAGCTGGTTAGAGTTTCCAAGCATAAAAAACTAATCTATGTAATTTATATAAAACAAAGAGATTTCTCAATCAAAATAAGTTAGACTTTCATTGAACTTTATTCAACAATTAAACCTCCCTTACTCAACTATGGTACCTAGCAATAAATCAACAACTATGGAGTGGTTTTGGAAGCGAACGCGTTTCGCGTATGCAGAGCAGAGAGATTGCTAGCAGTGCAAAGACTGATTCCGAGCGTAAGGTTGTGATGACGTCTCTGTAGCTGTTGTCAATTTTTGGCTAATTTTATCAGCTAATTTTTCAATAACCCGCAAGGACGATGATTCTGCCCCTGTCATGCAGTTAAAAATTAGAGGGTGAAAGTTCGCATGTTTGACATCATCAAATTGTTGCTGGTACTTCAGCCTCTTTGTATTTTCTTGAGCCCGTCCTGACATTTGAATTGAACCTTTTCCGGACTAAAAAGGTTTGATGGAACCGAAAGTTGTTCATTTTAGCCAATTTTCGTTCATATATGAATTTTCATGGCATTAAAACATTAGTGATTTAAAGGCCCTGTTCCTAATCTGTTTTACGAGGCGAGTGTTTGGACTTTTAGTTTAGGGCACTGAACTGATGTATATATGAATAACAAACTGATGAGAAAGCAAGATTTGATACTCAATTGTTTTTAGGTGATTGTTTGTTTGAAATTGTAAAATTGATCTTTATACAATTTAATAAGACCTTTTATTTTTTAAGCTGCAATGAAAATAGATAGGGTTGCACAAGGTTGGCTAATTTCAAATACTGTAACGAGGCTCAGTGCATATACCTAAAAAATATTTTTCGAAAACCTCATCAAAAACGTTGTTTAATATTCAAAATATTTAAATGAGAACACAAATGCTTAGATGGATTTGAACCGAAGAAGAATTACTCTAAAAAATTTCGAAGCTTTGAACAAAAAAAACGAGAGAACTCACGTGAATCTGAAAGTCTAGGTAGCTGCTCGATCTTAAATTCAATTAATTTCGAATAAACTTCTTGAGCCAAGTAAGAAAACTAAATATGTACTCAATTGTTTTTAAGTGATTGTTTGTTTAAAATTGTAAAATTGACGTTTTTGAACTAATAGGCCATTTTTGAACTACTAGAACTAATATTTTATAAGTTTTGCTCTACTGATCTACTGATGTTTACATTTTTTAGCTTTTTGAAACTTCCATTTTCGGCTCATTAGGTAATAGGATGATTGGATGACTATATGATGATTTTGAAGATGATTTTGTGTGGTGTTGTGGTGAATCCGGTAGTTTTAGTGCCCAGCCATCTTATAATTGCTACTTAAAACCGCACGTCTGCTCTAATTTACCAAGTGAGCGCTTGTAAATTAGCTATAGCTTAGTTAATTTTAATCAATTAACCTCAGGGCGGAGCCCCTGGCTGGTTAATTAAGCAATCAATTATTTTTTATTAAAATTTTTGATTAAAAGTGACAACTTGTTAGCAGAATAATCTGAGCCCAAAAATGCCGTCATTTTTTTTGAAAATGTGTGTTTCTAGCACTTAGATTTAAACTATGCTACAGCGGGAGTGCAATAAACAACAAATCACGGAAATCGTAATTTTTTTATCAACTCAAACAGTGTTCTTATTTACGGAATACTTTAGACAATCTAACGTGAACTTGATTTTTAGGGACAGCGCTTTCAGTTTTTCTAAGTTTTTGCAGTCGACATTTAAAAAAAAAAATTTTCTGGCAAAAGTTAATAGCTTGACCATTTGCAGCTCAATTTTTCATTTATTCTCATTTTTCTTTCAGTGATAACTCAGCCCAATTTTTGGTAACTGAATGAAAGTTCGTATTGTCTCTTACAGTCATGATTTTCATTCGAATCAACATATTCCACTTATTATGAAAAAATGGTCTGATTATATCTATTTTTTCAGACTAAAGGACACGGAAATTATGATTAACACCATGACGACTGTACTTACAATTGAAGTTTACTAAAACTGATTCATAATAGTTGCTATTCTTACACCTTTATGTGTAGTTTGTTGTTCAGTCAATAGCCCTTAAAAAAGCAACACTTAAAAAAAAAGAACAAACTTAGCTTTAAAAAATGATATTTCGTAAAATTAAACAAACAATAAAATTTTTCTTCATTTTTTTGAAATTTTTTATTGTTTTTTTTTATAATCGAGCTCAATTTATAACGATTTTCAACAGCATTCTTTTCCACAAAGTTATGGAGTTTTAATTTTAACATTTTGACCGCTTTGGGATAAATATTGAGCACCTTGCCAATATTATTTTAATACATGGTTTAAACGGCAAAATACTGCCTCACAGAACCTTTTTCAAATCAATTTGAACAGTCAAAATGACGCATAAAAAAAATTAGAAAATTTTGTACTTTACGTTGCGTTTGCGAGAAGATTTGAAAAAATAAAAGTAGAAAAAATAAGTTTTTATAAATTTTCAACTAAATCAATTTCAGAAATTAACAAATCAATTCAAACATACAATAGACCACCATGGTAAAAACAGTTTTTTTTTTCAAGTTTCCAAGATAAACTCTGATGAATGCTTCCTTCGCTAAAAAACCCGGATAAGGTAAAATGTGGGGGAAAAGCTGGCCATTTAAGTTTTGTTGCTTTTATTTGACGCTAGCAAAAATCTCAAAATTTAATTCTCGAGTTTTCGAATTGGCTCAGAATAAAACAGTCTCATAGTCACAAGGTACAAAAAACGTTATAAGGTTAACTTTTTTAGTTTTTATCCAATTTTGAGCAAGTGAGCATTAGCCTATTTATGCTTTTTTAAGCCTTGAAAATTTGAGTTTTTTTCAAATGAAGCTAGTTTTTGGACCCTTTAGCTTCATCTCAGGAATCCAAAACTTCAAAAATTAGGTGACAAAAGTTTTCAAAAATTAAAAAAAAATTATTTCTTTATTGTTCTTGTTTTTCTTGTTATTTGTTTGAAAAAACTGTTTTTTCATTTTGCATATTTTACAATGACTGACAAAATTGCCTAATTCTGCTATTTTGCTCAGATCCTTTCATCATACTGCGCCTAAAAACGGCAGTGTTGAAAAAAAAAATTTTTTTTGTTGTAATCTTTTATGACTAATCTTTGTGCTACTTGCACAGTAACCGTCTATTCTTGTTTTATGTTTGCTTTGATAGATCCAAAAAAAAATTCTCAACGAGTTTCAATTAATTTTGCTTGCAAAAACTAAAAATCAGTTGCATAAACGGCTAGAAAAATCACTCATATAGCTCTAAGTAAGGTTTGTTTATACAAAACTTTTTATATTACCTCAAATTTTTTTGAGACCGAGTTAAATTGAGATCAAATTACATAATTACAAAAAGAAGTGTACTACAGAAGAATACATTCAATCGAAATGAAAATGCGATAGCGTGGAAACGACTTATCAGTTGTCGCGAACCGAACTTCTCGTAAAAGTAATCCAAATGCCAATATCTTTAGCCTAAAAGCCTAACTTTTTCGAAAATGAAAATATTTGGACTTGGAATAAATACTCAAAACGCTATCGTGATTTTTTTCTGAATATCGCTGGGACTCGAGAGATATTTTGTTAATCGAAAAAAAAATATCTAAAATGAGAAAGTTTTCTTAAATAGCTCGTTTATTGTAACGAAAGTAGATAAATGAGTTATACTCAAAGCTAATTTAAATTCGATTTTTTTTACAAAGCAAAAAGAGTCTTATTAAGAGTCTTATAAAGAGAAAATTATTTTTACGAAAAAATAACATTGCTCTTCTCGAATGGCCCCAATACCCCGGACATCAACCAGAAAATGTTTCAAGAGGAGCGGGAAAAATTGGCAATAGAACTGCCAAAAGCTCCAATAAAACAAATTATGTAGCTTTGGTTGATAATTTTCTTTTTTCAGTTTTTTTTATCTGAAACAGAGATCTAGGTTACCCCTAGAACTTTTCGGGCGAAAAAAATCCTTAGTTCTTACGTAAAAACAATGCTTTCCAGCCAGATAATTTTTTTCTATTGGTATTGTTTTTTAGGTTTTACATGTGCAAACAAAAGATTTTATTAAGTGAAACTTCTGAAACATCTTTGTGAAAATATTGTATCACGAAATTTGTGAGCGCTTTCCTTTTGAAAATAGTACACACGGCACCGATGGCGGCTTTGCAAAAGTTTTAAGGTAAGTTTCGACTCCTCGATGATCCAGAGAGTCCCCCTTTAGTACTATTTTAAGACATTTTGGCTGACAACCTCACAAACTGTTATAGATGCCTTCGCATACCTTTAGATACCAATTTCGAGATGAAGCGCGCGCCAAAAAACGCAATTATTTTGATCGACCTAGAAAAAGATTGAGAACTTTTTCGAACATTTTTTTGAAAATACGATCCTGCTCCTCGACAATTAATTGACAATTGAGTTCCGCTAACTCGTAATTTTTCACCACAACAACCTCTCCTCCTTTGTGTTGCATCGAGTACTAGTAACAAGTACAATGAGTTTTCACAGATCTTTTCTGTTATAAAGTCTAAATGGATGTTCGTTCGTTTGTCAAAAATTAAATCAAGATGCTTGTCTGATTAAAAGAGTGGCAGAAAGTTTAAATAAAAAATTTTGTAATAACATTCAATCATTTTGAGCAGTATAACAAAAACAGTATAATGAAACAGACCTCATTTAAGGTAGCTCCGTTATATTTTCATCACTGTTATGATTTTACTGTTAGTTTTTATCAAATTACCTGTTGACTT